ATACGATGCCCAGGTCCTAATTTTCGAGCTACCCGCACACATCCAACACAATTTACGGCTGAAGAGCTTCCAACAAAAAGGCCTAAAATAACGGGTATTAGTGACGCAATTTGAATATCCAAGTCTTATGTCTTTATATCACAGACCTTCCTCTCTCACCAAATATCTTGCCATTGCCACTGCTTCTTCATCGGTAACAAGAATTGCGTCATCAATTAATCCGATTGATAGATTAAAGTTCTCTGTTGCCCGATTTAAACCAACTCCCTCAACTACTGTATCGACTTGATGCCTGCGTCGCGTTCCTTCAGCCTCAAGTGGTGAATACATAACATTGTGTTTTATTTTATTATACAGTCCTGAGCCAGGTGGATCAACAAGAAATACTTTGAGGTTGGGTATGAGAGGCTTGAGGTAACGGGAAACTCCAGCAATTGTGCCTCCAGTACCTATGTATGTAAAATGTTGTATAACATTTTTATAAATCAATATAAAAATCACAAAACATTAATTAGTTACACACACCGGCTCCAGATACAAAAGCGTCAATCTTTCCTCCAGTTTGCCTATATATTTCGGGACCCGTCCCTTGAAAATGAGCTTCATTGTTCGACAAATTTTCAAATTGATCGGCAAAGAATCCCACTTTTCCTTCTACTGAATTACCATTAATTATTTCATACTCCTCATTTTCGTCACCTCGCTTGTCTATATATGATTTTCCAAACTCTTTGGCACGACTCTTAGCTAAATTCACGAATTGTTGTTTATCAATTATACTTGCAGGTCGCACCTTTTCCACAGTGGCACCTAATTTTTCCATTAACACATATTTCTCTTCGGCCTGATCATCTGGCATAACAATCCAGGCATTGTACCCTTTTGCACGAGATATCATTGCAATAGATACTCCAGTAGATCCTGATGTCCCTTCGAATATCGTGCAACCAGAATTTGGTCGTATTAAACCTCGTTCTTCAGCAAAGTTGATAATATTAAGTGCAACTCGATCCTTTGGACTCCCACCTGGATTCAAAAACTTTATGGTTGTTAGAAATAATTGTCAATTTATTGAGTGTCCGCGGAATAAATATTATGGCAAAAATATAAACCTCAGCTTTTGCCTGTGGGTTGATGCATTATTTAATATATAAATAATAAGTCGGTGTCAAAAAAAGTAACTTGACACACTTCTCGGGAATTTAGAAGTCTGCATACCAAAATTTCACAACCCGTTGCCTCACTTAAACTCTTTATTCTCATTAAGGGAGTGTTCCCAATCAACCCAACTATTCCATCTGCTATTTCTTCATTACGTTTATTTGAATTCGCGTCTCTATCTGTGCTATCTTTTTTCTTATCTTTCGGTTGCAGCCAATTTATTAAAGAGTTTGTCGAAGCGGTAATTATAACACCAAGCACCAAACCAAAAAAAACCGAAGCTTTATTCAAATCGCTTACGAGTG